ATTCCTTTTTATGGCTGAGTAGTATTCCATCATGTATATAAAGCACATTTTCTTTATCCAGGCAGCCCGTTGATGGACATTTAGGTAGGTTCCAATTCTGACTATTGTGAATAGAGCTGCGACAGACATGGGAGTGCAGGTGTCCCTTCGATTTGTTGATTTCCTTTCCTTTGGGTATATACTCCGTAATGGGATTGCTGGATCATATAGTAGTTCTATTTGTAGTTTTTTGAGAAATTTCCATACTGTTTTCCATAATGGCCGTACTAATTTACATTCCTACCAACAATAAGAGTTCCCCTTTCTCTGGATTTTATTTATTTTGTGGATTCTTTTTAAAATGCTGTATCGCCAGGGCTCCTGATGATGTATAGAAACTGAGCCAAAGATGATTAAAGAGTTGAATTTTGAAAAAACGTTTTATTTATCAATTTGTTTCAGTTTTATTTTCCTTTTGTATATGCACAGAGTAATGTATAATAAAACTATGTCTAAATCTAAAGCATTTTTTAAGAACTATGAAGTAAAAACCTTAAGTGATCAGAAAGTACTGTGTCATGGTTTCTTAGTTTCAATGTCAGCTATTTTTTTTTCTTTCTTCATGACATAAAATAACAGTGCATTTTTCAATCAATGATGTCTTAGATTCAAGGAAATACAATAGCTCCAGCATTAGATCACTTCTCATCCCTTCTACAGCGCCTGGTCCAGTCCAGGCCATCATTGCCCCTGGCCTGGCTTACGGTTCCAGCTTCCTACCTGCTGTTCCCAGGTCCACGGATGGCCCCACAGCAGTTTATTCTCAACACAGTAGACAGAGTGTCGTTTAAAAAAGTAAATCAAACGAGATCATTTTTGTGCTCAAAATCTCCCAGCAACTTTTTATAAGATCCATAGTCCTTACAAGACCCTAAATACCTGTGCCATTCTCCACCCCACCTCACCACCTCCCTCCAGTCTTTCTGCAACTCACTTCACATTCATCAGACTGGCTTCTTTGCTCGTCACAGAATATGTCACAAATGCTAACACCTCAGGACCTTTGCCCTTGCTTTTCCCTGTGCCTGGAAATCTCTACCCTCTGACTTCTGCATGGTGCCGTCTTCTCACCTTCCTCAGATCCTTGCTCAAATGCCATCTTTTCAGTGAATCCTTTCCTTACTAACCTGTTTAAAACTGCAATTCCCCTTCAACACCCTTGGCGGCAGCCCATCCCCATCTCCTGTTCTCCTTTCCTGCTTTCTTTTTTTCCATGGCTCCTATCACCGTATGACATATATACATTTCATTTAGTTATTTGTCTGTTTATCTGTCTGTCCCTCACATGAGTATGTAAGTCCCATGAGAAAAATGGATTTTTGTTTGTTTTGTTCTTTGCTGTGTTTTCAGCGCCTAGAACAGTTCTTCAGCAAACAGCAGGTGCCCAATAAATATTTGCTGTTGAATGAATTAATATACATTCTTGAGTGGCTTGTGAGGATAGCCTGCAGCAGCCAGGTGCAAGGTGGAAATTTCTTTAACATTTTGTGTTTTCTTTAAAAAACTCATATGTATGTTGCACTTTATAATGGAGAGACCTGTGTTTGATTATAAACATACATTACCTCAAAAATTTTTGAGCCAGAATAATAGTCCGGGAAACTGTTTACCCATAGCATAAGCAGCATTCTGAGAAGCACAGCTTTAAGCATTAGGACCTTCATTTTATCTTGATATAAATTAGTTTATACAGACACATATGAGAGGTCTGCAAAACTGGAGATATCAAACTGATAGCAAATAGGCTGGCTCTAGGCATAAGTTTATTCTTTTTTTCTTTTTTTTTCCTTTTTCTTTTTTACTGACCGGTAACGGGATCACAACCCTCGGTGTCGCACCCGCACCGCGCTCAGCCAGTGAGCGGGAACCGGTCTCCACATGGGATCCGAACCCTCGGCGGGAGCACCGCCGCGCTCCCAAGTGGCGCACTCTCCAGTGTGCCACCGGGCCGGCCCTAGGCATAAGTTTATTCTGAATACACTTGGAAAATACGTAGTACAGTACAACTCAATACACCTTGTGAGAAAACGAGTCTTTAAATTACAAGAATCAAAAGCAAGGTAATGTCAGCTAAAATTGATTCTATTTTTTTGTTGGGCTGGGGGAGTCAAGAAGAAATGACTTGGAGAAATGCAAAGACAATGCTATCAGTGACAGTCTCTTTCTTTAAAAAGTGGGAAAGAACGCCTTGATCTTGCTCTGTTTCCATTATCTGTTTTGTACGGAGCAATTATAATGTGTTTTATGTCAAAGATGGTTTCTTTTTTATTCACCAGCAAATAGCAGCCATTTGATAAGTTTCTCCTACTTCTCTTTTTTCTTCTGGCACTTTCTCCCATGGTCTTTCTCCACTCTCCTCTTTTTTCTTTGTTCCCCTGAGGCTTGATAACAAAAGAAAAAAAAAAACTTGGATATAAGTTCAGAAAGAAAATGAGTTCAATGTGGGGAATCCAAATGCTAGGAGTTTGAAATGAGCATGCGGCTGGCTTACGGTTCCTTTTGGCAGAACATAGGGGAGAGACCTGGCAAAACTCCTCCAAGGGTGGGGAACTGCTCACCTGCCCGGTACACAGGGGATGCACAGAGCAGCTTAATCTTCCTGCCAGTGGATTGCCTTGCAGTCTGTAAATATAAGGTGGAAAATTCTTCCAGGGTGGAGAGAACCTAACTGAGGTGGTTTGCTCAGCATCTGCTATAGATTGTGGGGAGGTGCGTGCACATGCTGGGCTTTATTGATATAAATCATTTTGTCATGAGGTCTCATCAGTGCTCAGGTAAATGAGTCAATTGCATTTTGTCATTATGTGCAATCATCAGGTTGTATATTATATAATTTATCCACTGTCGGTTTTGAATAGAGCAATTTTCACCGAGATATTTATTTTCAGACCTGGAGATGACAAATGACTCTTAATTTGCTTCAGTTTGTTCCTTCAGAGCTTCTCCACCTTTGTTCCAGTGATTTGGGCCCCAGAGGTCACCGACACTTCCTAACAGAAGGGTGGCAGGAATGTCCATCTGAGCAGAGTGTTCCAGCCACTCCGTGAGAACAGGAAGGTAGGGGCATGAGAATAAAGAAGAATCTCCACGATTAAAAACACATTCCCAGATACTGCTATGCAGCAGTTACTGCACACATGCATGGCTTGTCCTTCTGTGCCTAACAGTAATTCATAGATTTCTAGATAATAAGCACTGACTCAATTACATGACAAATAATTAGAAGGATGTGAACTCTCCTCACATTCCTTAAAGAGTTCTATAAGAGTGACCCTGTAAACGTAACTTTTTTCAAATACCTAACCACAATTTCAGAAATTTCCAAAAGAATCACGCTTCTATCCATTTCTGGTTTTCATCTTCTAACTTAATTTTTCATCTCATAGAAGAAGCTACCAACACACATGACCAAAGAAAAATCTCACCTGAATGTACTATATCAATGTCTAAGTTACCTCATCCTTCATTCTATCTGCCAGTCTTTTAAAATTTTTATTTTCTATTTTTTGCAGAATCACATTGTTCATGGCCTCCAGGGGAGTCAGTCCTTAAGCTGGCACCTCCAACTTCTCATGTGTTTACAGTCTTAGTATTTTCTTCCTGCCCCTCTTCTTCCCTGGAGCCTCGTGCTTTTGGTAAGCCACCTTTTCATGACTCCCCATAATAGTTCTCCAGTGCACACCAGAATAACTGCACCTGCCTTTCTTCTCCACCTACCAAGTCCATTTAAAGCCACAAACCCACCATATGTCAATTGTTTTCCTCCATCTAGTCGACAGGTAAAGAGAACATAACCACACTCAGTAAAGATATTTATTCTCATTTCCCAAACCAAGGGAGATGTGGAAAGAGGTTCTTAATCAAGGGTGTATTGAAGGATCAGAATAATGGCTAAATTGGGGACAATATGCCTAGCAAGGTCAAAACAATTTTAAAAATGCATGTCTTTGAGTACAAGGGCTGTCTTATTTATATCTATATCTACTGCAATGCCTACAACGGTGATGGTCACAGAGGACAATGTATTATAAAATGACCCGGATTAATGTGTGACTCTATAGTTGGCTTAGGTATTATGAGAATTTATGGCATTCACCCTAGCAGGACCCAAGTGGCAGACATCCGACGCACCTTGCCTTGATCCATCTATGCACATTACAAATGTCCCAGCACAGAGACAGTCAGTCAGTCAGCAGGGCTGTGAGACAGTCCAGAGGAACAGATAAGTGCTTAGGCTCTAGAGTCAGACTCTGGGTTCACATCTTGGCTATATTGATTTACAATTACGTGACCCTACACAAGTCACACAACCTCAGTTATCTCCTCCATAACATGGGGATTAAGAGTCCCTTGCTCTTGAGGTTATTATAAAGATTACATGAGATGATCATGTGAAGTACCCAGCACGTACATGTCGACCAAACATACATTTATTTGCTAGTATAGAGAGATTAGGACACAAAGGTCAATAAAGGGCTTCACATAACCACTGCCCAATATTAATTGAAAGAACCTGTATCAGCACTGACCAGAGGCTACTTTGTAAAGGAAGACCATGTAATTTCACAGTGATAGGAGTGAATTGGTACCAGTCTTCCCCATCTCCCTTCTATATTCCACAGGCACAACAGACTACACATGAGGTGGCAGCTGGGATGCAGTCTGTCCTCCTGCTGGCAGCAAAGCTCACGTTTGTAGGGAGAGTGGCTCTAGACCCACGTCTAGCTCACTCCTGCTGTGCCTCAGAAGGAAAGCTTTCCACCTCAGGTTGCAGTTGGTGACCCGACATATCCTGCCTAAGCTACTCCACAAAACAGGAACATGAAGCTTTCCACATTTTCAGATCTGTCTTCATTTTGGTGGAGGTGTCATTTCCTGGCTGCAGGGGGAGCCAGAGATAAGCTAGGGGAGGACAACAGATCAATAAGACCCAAGCTTGCCCCACCTCGGCAGTGTCTTACATTTGGTGGCGGAGAGCTGGGATTTATATTGCCCTCGGACCAGCCGGCATGTAGACCCGTCTCCATTGCAGATCCCACAGTTGTCTTCCTTGGTGGCGCTTCCCAGCTGGTGATCACAGCCGACAATCTAATGAGAAAGAGAGACGTGTAATTCAACTGGCACCGACCAATGGAGGGGTTCACCGATGGAGGCAATCACCACCAAATTACCGTCCCTTCATCACCGAGGGGCATAAAACAGGCTTCCCGTGAAGGAGACTGAATTCGGCTGGAATTTGACCAAGCTGAGGAAGAAAACACGTAGCATGGGTAAAGATGCTTTTACCATTCTAATATATAGACAGAAAGAAGGGTAGAAGAAAGAGAATCAGACAGAATGAGGAAGGTAGGGAAGGATGGGGACAGGGTGAGGGAGAAAAGAAGATCCTGAACTTCTGACATTACAAGAACTTAATTCAAAAATAATTCCCAATGACAATAATTATGACTCACCCAAATGTTGAACAACATAACCAGGAGGTAATGGTAGCAGGAAACATTTTATGAATAATCTCCAGGTTGCCTATGTTTCTTAGAAGGTAAGCTTCATAAGGGCAGGAGATTTGTATGTTGCGTTCATGGATATATTCCAAGCAACTAGAACTATGCTTGGTAAATTCAGGGCTGTCAATAAATAATTGCTGGATAATAATGAAAATCCTACATTTTTAGCTAGCACTTCAGCTAAACGAAGAGAAACACAATCAGCTAACAGAAACTAGCTTAGTGTGTGCGTGTGCAGAGAAAGCAGGGGGTTGGCCTGAGAGCAGCAGAGGTGACCAACACTGAGACCCTGCTATTTGCCAAGTCCTGTCCTGTACCAGGCACGATACAAATACCTCACTAACTCTCAAGAACAAGCACATAAGATATCCCCATTTTATAGTTGAGATCACAAATCTTGCCTGAGGTCATTTAGTCATTTAGCTAATAAGCAGCCAACTTCTAAATACTTTTAGTCATTTAGTTAATAAGCAGCCAACTTCTAAGTCTTTATAAAATATGTGGGCAATCTCATTTGCATGTTTACTCTTTCCTTTCCAAAGTTTGAGTTAAAAAAAAAAACAAATTCAAATCCAAACTATGCCAGGTTGTACATCTTAGAGTTCTAATTAGAGCTGATACCAAAAGATGTATTCCACTACCAATTATTGTCTGTGATGAAATAAAGTGAGTGACAATTGAAGGAGCTTATCTCCACAAAGTCCCCACAATTCAACTTGCCTTTCAAAAATCTGGTTGTTAATATGCCCTTTCTTTGAGGCTTGATTTTCCTTTTTGTACCTTTTATTAATAATTGCAAACAGATGTTTAGGCAAAGGTTTAAAAATACAATTATTTAGCATTGTGTTATGTCTATACTCTATTTAAGAAATGTGGCAACATGTATTTTTTCATTAAAAGCAAACACCTTTTAAAATAGATGACAAAGCAACAATTCCTTCAACAATTGCACATTTTTGAAATGCAAAAATGTCAGGAAAACATGGTGCTGAGTTCTACAGCAAAGGCCAGTTGCTCCATCCCTGTGGGTTCACTGTGGTCAGGCAGTAGTTCACCTCAGTCTGTTCAGAGGCTGCAGTGAGGCCACTCCAGAATTCAACTGAGTTTCACCCGTGCAGAGTCAAACATGTGCTGGCTCAAGACTTCTTTGGTGTGCTTCTATGTAACTTCAGTAAAATTATTTTCAAAATTCTTATCTGTAGATGGGCCCATACATGAGCTGATCAAATCTGTATGCATTCATATTCTGAATACAGTGTGAAATGGGAATACAGAAGTGCCTCATTTACAAAAACAATCCATTTGCTCATCAAAGCAGCATTTCTTGAGGACCTGCTGTGGGCTAGGCACTGCACTAGGAGCAAAATTTGATGGTGAATTTAAGCACATATGGGCTCACCCTCATGAGACTTACAATCTAGTGATGGAGGCAGATATTACTCAATCATCCCACACGATAAACATAAAATGATAATCATGATAAAAGTTATAACACAGAGATAACATGGTACTCTGACAGCATAAAATATGGAGAATTTGGTTTGGTTAGAGGCCAGAGACGACTTTTCCAAGAAAGAGTCCTTTGCGTTAAGATATGAATGAGGAGTCAGAGTTAACAATGGAAGGGGATGTGTTGATGTGAGGTTTACCACCTTTAGAAATACCTACACATGGCTAATTAGAGAGGAAGCAACAAAAGTTGGCAAAAATAAAAAAAAAAGGTCAGAAGACTAAATCATCTGATTGTCTTAGCAGGGTTGAATCCTTTGAGAAAGCATGAGGCAGCCCTCAAAGAATTATTGACTGTACTGTTGCCATTTGGGATTGAAAAAGATGGGCTTAATCTTACAAGATCCTCAGCTATGTGAAGGGCAAGATGGGCAGTGGGAATCGACACTCTCAGGCATCTCAAACCGAACTAAAATTACCCCTTAAATTACAGGAATTTTAGGTTTCTCAAAGGATTTAAGTTTCTCTGGAAAATTTTTAATGGACTCTGATGACTCCAAAGGAGCCAAAGGAGATAATCATGAAAATCTCTCTATAATTCTAAAGATTTCTTAAGGTTCCAAAACAATTTTAAGAAAAGAACAATTCAGCTTCACAGATCCAAAGTAACAGTCATGTTATGAATAGCTAAATAGAAGGTGACATACTTGAAGGCTAACTTGGCCAGACCCCCAACTTAGCACTCTCAGTGTGGGTTTCTGGACCCTAGGATATAAACCAAGTCAGTTCTAACTGGGCTTTGTTTAACTGCAGAGTTTAAAAGACAAATATCTCCCTGACACAATTGTTTTTTTTTTCTTTTCTCTGTATCAATTCCTCTTTAAGATGCCAAAATATTCTAACTCAATTATTTTTAAAATGCGGAATACTTCATCATCAGATAAAATGTTCTTATTTTGGTCCAAGTGGAAAATTGTTTGCAGTTATATCAGGATAACCATTCCTAACATTTCTTAATCTGTTGATGTTGAATAACTGTTAGATTAATTAAAAATTAAACTGTTACTTTAAGACTTATTATTAATAAGAGAGAGAAAAATAAATAGGAATACAGAAATGGTATTAATTGGCAGGTATAATCCCAGATCCCTTTGTGCTATTATTTCTGCCTAGAATACTCTTTCCCAGTTCCTTATTTGGTAAACTCCTATTCATCCTTCAAATCCCAAATTAAGTGTCTCCTCCTCAAGAAAAAGCCCTTTTCTGATTCCAGAGTTAACTGCTTCATTGCTCTGTGCCTTCTCAGCCTTTTTGTTCAGACCTCCATGTGGCAGAGATTGCAGGTCACCATCCAATATCCACCTTCTCTGATTTTTCTCAGTTTGAGAACCCCAATTTTATTTGGGTTGGCAATATATCCTGTTAAAAGAACACATTTTTTATTGGCCATGTGACCAAGTTGTAATTAGTAAAATAAAAGTGAAAGTGACATGTGGGACTTGTGGGAAGCCTACTAGAGAGAGGCTGACTTAGCTGGGAAAGGCCCCCTTCTGCCCCCTTGCCTGCCTTCTTTCCTGTTGGCTCCAGTAGGCATCTTGAAAAACGAGACAGTCTTGAGAATGGAAGCCTTGCAGTAAGGATGACAGAACTGAAAGAAAGAGAGCCTGGTTTGTGAACCACACTTGAACTGATGACATCTTGACTTGTTTTCTTATGAGGGAATAAATCCTATATGTGTTTAAGCCACTATTATTTGGGGTTTCATTTCTATGCACCTGATTCAAATTGTTATAAAGCTTATATTGAGTTTAATCTATTTACATGTCTGTCTCCAACCACATCATAGACTATTTGAAAACCCGTGTTTTACTAATTTTTGTATTTCTGCTGGGTAGCACATTATTTAACATTTGAGATGCATGATGAAACACATAACACCAAACAATGATTTGCTAATAATTCCAATGCAGGCTACAGATAGGAACCTTAGACTACAGTCACTGATGACACATATGTAGGCAAAAGTGTGTGTGTGTGTGTGTGTGTGTGTGTGTATGTGTGTGTATTTGAATCTGTGTGCACAGAGAAACAGACATACCATAAACGACAACTACAGGCCAAACCTAAACCTCTATCCTGATGCATGAACAAGAATTACTGTAAAAGGCTAGTATTTTTTAGAGACTATTTCCCAGTCACCTACATTCATTATCAGCACAGTCATGGAAGGCAATGTTCGGTTCACTAAATTCCCACACCCATCCCATTCTGGACAAAACATTAAAGTGGGATAATGACCACTCATAACTTTGGCAACTGCGTGGAATTTTTTTTTGCAAACGGTGGAAAACTAACTGGATATGTTGGCCTAATGCAGCTTATTAGTATTCTGCTACTAGGTGTCAGCTGGATAGAGTGGTCTAACCTAATCTTCATCCAAAATGATTGTATAGTGTTGCTAATTTTACATTTTTTAAAAATCTCAGACAACATAAAAAGTAATAAGATCCAAGAATTTAGAGAAAAGTGAAATAATACCCTGAGACTTACAAAGATTAATAATGTGTTTGTTGTAGATATCATCAGTGGGTCATCAAGTTTTGCTTTTATATCCTAAATGTATGCTTTTTGTGCCCTCTCTTATATACATATCAGTATACATGTACACGGACATGCAGTCTTTTGCCTTATTTTTGAGTAGAACACGCACACTTAACACTGCTGATTTTTCTTCATTGTTCTTTAGGATATACTAAAGGGAGGGGGAAAAAAACCTCCCCTTTACCAGAAAACTAGTACCATAGCATCCCGTCCAAGTTGGCTCACGGACTTTCAGCATGTTGTACAGATTTTAGGCATCAGGCCTGCAGCATGTGCTGACAGAGCTTTCTTCCTTCACTTTACAGAGCTGAGAGCAAGTGAACAGGCAGAACATAAGACTGAAATTCTCTAGACACTGAAATATATATAATAAAATGTCTTCACTAGAAGCCACAGGAGAAAGAAACATCACTGTGCTAATTAATAATTTGGAGAATGTAAATAAACATAATCCATAAGCAGATATCACCCCCCTGTGGGTTCACGCTGGCCACGTTTCAAATGGTTTCCCATAAGGACCTCAACTTCGAGCAT